TTCGAGCTGAATCCAACCAGCAGTGTCGGTCGTCTGTTGATTTTGCTTCTTCCAGTCCCATCGCTTTTATGCTTCGAGGAACAGGATATCGCGTGCGAACCCCCATCCACGAACACCCTTTTCACTAGAATGTGGCTATTTGCAGGGAGAGGACTAAAGCATCGTGGTGAGGGCAACACGGGTGATCGGCTCGTCATCCTCGAACTGAATCACTTGATGGGAGTATGACCTCGAGACCGGATGAACAGACTGGATTTCATGTGTTTGGTTCTAGCATACCGCTTGGCTGACGAGTAACTTACCCACTGATTTCTGATCCTCGGAGATGAGCGAGCAGAAAACCTTAGGTGTGGTTCCGCGGAGGGGGCGAGGTCGGGTTGTTGGAGCTTTTCTGGCTAATGGTGTTCTTCCTTGTCGGTGAGTAGGTACGGAGGTGTCCTTTCTTTAGGAGTGCGGCAATCTCGAGCCGCAAGGCGATGAATCGTGGTGTTATGCATGGTCGTTGTGAAACCGCACACTTGGTTGTGTCTCTCCTTGCCTCGGGAGAGCTTACCAGGCCACTTGACAGCGGATCCCATACCTTTCATTATCGCTAACGACTGGGTTGGTTCGATGCTGAGACTATATTCTGGTATTTTGAATTGATTCGACCCCGATTGTTGTCATTGCTTCGAGGGTTGGCGGGCATATGGTCTCCTGGCTCTGCTCATATTCCTTGAGGGGGGTTGGTAGCGGTGCTCTGCCGGTCTAGGTTCCAGTTTCCTGTCGTTCCGCCTAGGTTCGGATCTGGAATGGGCGGCTCGGTTATCCATCTTCCTCCACCTTATCTGGATCACGGCTCGGGCCAGGCGTCTTCCATGGTAGTACAGCTCTTTGTGAGCTCCTTGTATTGTTCCCCGTCTGGAAGGAGGCCTTCCTGAAAGCGTCCACAGCAGTCTCGGGGTTACAGGAATGAATAGAGATTTTCTCCTTGTTGAATCTGTAACGTACTTTCAACGTTGTTCCCCTCTCCGTGGTATATCCGGTACAAGTCGGCGACAGCTTCCTAGCTTCTGCTGCTGGCAACTGTTCCAAAAGCGTAGTAAGCTGAGCGAACGAATCGATGGATCCGTTCGGGAGATTTGTGTACCATTGGAGTGCGGGCCAGACAAACTAGAACCGAAACTTTGCACATACAGGCTTCTAAGCGGTCGGGGTATTACACAGTAACATCCGCTGTTTGTACGAGGCTATGTGGTCGTCCGGGTCGGTGGTACCGTCGTATGGTTTCATGTTGGGATACTGAATTTTGGGGCATGTCAGCCAGGGTGATCGCTCCGCAAAAGGTGAGTTGCGTAACAATTGGTGCTTTTCTTGGTTGGGATTGGCATTCCTGGGATACGCCTTATTACTGCCTCGACGTCGGCCAGTCTTTTAGCAATAACTGTTCTAAGGGAGAAGGAAATGTATCGGGTCATCCGTCTTACCGGGTCTGGTACGCCTCGTGGGGTATCCCCCGGGTGTAGACTGACGGATCAGTCCGTCGTGCGTTTTGGTAGCATATGTCTTCGTTCATCCCTTCTGGCTGGATGATCATTGGTCACTGTTTGTGTTCTTCCCTACATGGATGGTCAGGGGAGTTGTCTGGTAGTCGTTCGGTCTTTCGGGATGGGTGAGTTAAGAGCTGGAGTTGGTTTGGTTGGCCGTTCACCCGCGAGGATGAGCTAGGCAGGAGGGGGTTTGTGTTTGAGTTGACTGGAGGGGGGTGGCATGGTGGAAATGGGAGATCCTTAGGATTCTATTAGATCGTTTGATCATGAGGCTGGGATGGATCGACTGGACCGCGCGCCGTTGTGTCTTTATCTCCGTTAGTCAGAACGGAATAGTCGACCGCCAACGCGTCAAGCGGATGCGGCCCTTTACCAGAATCCGAGGGTTGATGCTCTGGTGTGGAGAGGGATTGCATGGAGGGGATAATGGTGCGGAACCGGTTGGAGGGTGCTTGGTCGGGGAGAAACTCGAGTTCATAGAATTGACTTACTTTCTCTTTCAGGACTGGTTCTCGACCCGGATGGATGCGTTGTTTTGGCTTCCAGTGCGGCACTTGTCTAAGTTGTTGCATGAGAGCGGTCAAAGCCTCCAGTCTGGCTCGATGCCTGAGTTAACGTCCTCCGGATTGTCAGCATGGATATTCTCCACGTAGCAGGGTTCGTCACGCCGAAAGATTGCTAGAGGCCCCACGGTGGGCGCCAAACTGTAAACGTAAAAATCTACCTGTACGGAAGGGGGGTCTGATCCGTGAGGTCAAGGCCAATAGCGACTGTGCACCTGCACACGTAGAGAAACACACGCGTGAAGAACGGGAAACACCCGGGTGGTGTTTGCGTAGGCACTCCGACGCTACTCAGCAAGGCTGAAGGGGCTAATTTAGTGAGGGCTAAGGAATAAGAGATTACCGGAAGTCTGGTCGGGGACTGTGACTACGACGAAACAGTGAAACTCTTGAGTGAAGAGTCTCGGGTGTGAGGGTGTAATGTGATGTCCTTGTGAGGGGCTGGCCTCTGTTTATATAGTGAGTCTGGTCTCAATCTTGGTAGAGTAGGAATCCTAGTAAGACTCTGATGCAAACCCTAGAAGAATTAGGGTTGGGGTAAGCTGTCTACGGTGTCCGATAGGAAGGTGATTCTGATTAGGAGAGTAACTCCGAGTAGGAAGGTGATCAGGAATAGGAAGGTGACCTTGAATGGGAGTTTGATCAGGAGTAGGAAAGTATTCTGAGGGGGTTGTGGGCTTTGGATTTGTCATGGACCTAGGACATGGGCCAGGTTTGAGAGGCTTGTGCCTGCTCAGTTTGGGTCGGTTGTTTCCACATGTTTAGAAGAGAAACTATGGCTGGGCCTTTGCAGGACTGGGCTTGGTCCTTCTTCGCTAATGGTCCTTTTCCCTATTTGGGCCAAGGACGATTTTGGCCCTAACACCATATATTTTCATATCATATTATCATGTGTTGAATAAGTAAAACTTTATTGTATATAAATCATCATTTTAAGATCCACAAGTACATTATATATTAATAGTGTTAAAGAGAAAACAATACATATATATGAAATTAGACATTATTTGACTTGTCTTTAATTGAAAGATATGGTAAATAATTCTCTATTGTGTATGTCATTTTTGTTGTTTTTAAATTCCAATAAAGTTTTTTAGATTAAAAAAACTTTAGTGTTTTATTTCGTTTATCCTTGACTCATTGTGAAATTGCTTAATATGAGTCTACCTAATATTATTTTGGGTATGATTTTGGGAATAGTATTGGATAGTTGGATATGGGAGTATTACGAGATAAAATTTAAAAATTTATGAAAAAGCCCCTAAGGTTTGCTAATTTAATAAACACCCCAATATATTAAAATATTGTAAAATGACAAAAACACCCCTACCACCTGCAGTGCCAGATTCCAGCCACCACCGTCGGAATCTGACAAAAAAATTGGATAACCACACATACCGATCGGATCTGGCGGATATTCAATTGATATGGTCTTTTCTGGCAATATCCACCACGGATCTGACCGGAAAGGCTAGATCTAAGGCCGGATGTGGCCTTCGACGGCCGGAAAAGACCATCTTTGGCAGTCAGCGACGACCAAAGATATGGCCGTCGTTGACAGTCAACGAGGACCATTTCTTTGGCCGTCGCTGATTGCCAGATCTAGCATTTTCCGGCCAGATCTGGCCATTACTGGCCATTTCCAGTGGTGGTGTGACATATTCTGGCTACCACCGACAGTGGTTGTCGGAATCTGGTAAGTATTCATGGGTGGGGGTATTTTTGTTAGTTTTTAAACTTTTTTCTGGGGGGTATTTAATGAAATTAATAAACTCATGGGGTTTAAAAGTAATTAAAAAAATAGACTAATATTTTGGGAATAATGTGTCAAACAACATTTGAAGAATATGATTGGGAATATAGATAAAAACAATAAGACAAACGCACCCATTTATATTGATATATTGATAGTCTTATCGTGAGATTTTGTTTATTTTATAGAGTGGTTTATGATTTTTTTTAATTTTTCTTTTCTTATAAAATATATGTTTCATATTAAATGATTTTACGTTGAGAAATGAAATAAACCTAAAGTACCAAGGCTTCGATTGGTTCGCTTTTAAACAGTAAAATGTCATTATTCCCAAAATATTATTCTATATTTTTTAATTTCTTTTAAATCTCCTAAATTTGTTAATTTAACTAAACACCCCCAAATATTTTTTTTAGAAATTGTAAAAATACTCCGGCCACCCTCCGACGGTGGTGGCCGGCTATCCGTATTTAATGGGTGGGTTGAGGGTGATTTTATTAACTTTTAATATTTTATTATAAGGGTGTTTAGTAAATAAACAAATATAGGGGATATTTTTGGAAATTCCAAATCCTACATCGTAATATTCGCCTAATTTAACTTTTTTCAAAAGATTATTTTAAAAACTATCAAAATAATGAACCAAACGGAGCCCAAATTTTGTAGTTTTTTTAATATGAGTTCATTTCTATGATAATTTGAATTTATAGTATTACTTTATTAAAATTGTATGAGTTGATAAATATAAACTTCCTTGTAACAAAAAGTTTCTACATATTTATTTCATTAAACTTGTAAGTATGTAACATTTTTTTTTTATAATTTTATTAATTTAATAATTTGGACAGAAAAGTAAGATAAATCAACGGTTGACTTTCTCTATTAAATATTAATAAATAAAAAAGTAATAACTTAATAACGCTAAAAATTAAACTCACAATAAATAAATAATTAATTGTTTATTTATTTTCAGTTTCTCCTACGTTACTTTGGAGGGAAACGTAAACGGAACTCGACAATCGAGAATCGACATGCACCCCAAACGTGCGCACCCCCCACGTCACCAGCGCGCGCACTTTAGCATAAGCCAAAATTCATAAGATTAAAAATGATTAAATTCAAAATAATTCAAACTATACGAATAAATAATAAAAAAAATAATAATAATTATTACCTCCCCCTTAATTTTAATCTCTCTCCAACAACACATCCAGAACAAAGACATCACCACCACCACGCCTCCGCCGAAACGACACCGTCGTCGTGTTTTAACTGAACGACAATCCGACGAGACGATCTATTCGTAATTACTCTGTACGCAAAAAAAATTTGATTAATTCGTCCATTTTTTGAATAATTTTTATCTTAATTTTGCTGAATTTCATGTGACTGTTTTAATTTTAGTATGTTCTTACGATCAGTAACGAATTCGGATTGTGTTTTGTCTTTATTTTATCGAGAAACAAACAGAAACGGAGAATCCCTCGCTTGTCGAGAAGCTAGGGTTTTCTGATCAGGAACTGTGCGGTTGTAGTGAGCATTTTGGGATGAATCAGTGAGGAGGAGTTCAGGAATGAGTGTGGCGAGGAAATTAGGGTTTTGAATTAAGGTTTTAGCAATTTGGAGAGGTTTATATTGGATGAACACTGTGGTTGCTGTTATGATTCGGTTTTGATTGGGTTGATTTTGAGAGATGGTGAAGTGTTTATGATGGTGGATTGATTAGTAGTAATATAGTGTAGCAATGGTGCGGCTTTTGGGACTGAGTCTCCGGGAATCAGATGAGTCACCTCGAGAAATCGCGCCACGGACTCACTTTACGAGTGACTCGGGTGAGAGTGGGTGGCTCATACGGTTCTTTGACTCGTCATTTTTTTGTGAGTGGATTGCTGTTAGCTACCTCTACAAGCATGACCATGCTGGTGTGCGTGATTATTTATGTAATAGAATGTATACACTTCCATTACCTGGTATTGAAGGTTACTTGTTTCAAATTTGTTATATGGCGATTCATAAGCCTAGCCCATCTTTGGATAAGTTTTGTATTGATATATGTTCGAAATCGCTTAAAATTGCGATGAAAGTACATTGGTTTTTGATGGCTGAGTTGGAGGATTCGGATGATAATGAGGGTATTAGTAGGATTCAGGAGAAATGTCAAATAGCCGCCACTTTGATGGGTGAATGGCCGCCACTTGTACAGGTACCGAATGCAGGTTTGAGTCCAGGGAGTAAGAGCCAAGTTTTAAACAAGATATTGTCGTCAAAACAGCGGTTCCTGTCGTTGACTTCTTCCCCACCAACACCGAGATCACTATCGTTTTCCCTTTCATCGGGGAATAATTTGCAAGAGGATAGTAGTCAGTTATCGCCTGAGGAGAATAAGATTTTTAAGAAATTCATTCCAGGGCCAAAAATGAGAGATGCTTTATTGTTTAGGAAGTCAGCTGAGAAGGATGAGGAAGAGAGTGAAAAGGATGGGTTTTTTAAGAGGCTTTTGAGGGACAGTAAAGGTGAAGATGAGGAAGTGACGTCAAGTTCAGATGGGTTTTTTAAGAGGCTTTTGAGGGATAGTAAAGGTGAAGATGAGGAATTGACAGCAAGCTCTGAAGGCTTTTTTAAGAGGTTGTTTCGTGATAGCAAGAGTGACTCTGATGACAAGTCTCTATCAAAATCATTGGAAGATGATGAAAAAGAAGGGTTTTTTAAGAAGTTTTTTAAAGATAAATTTGAGGAAAAGAAGGATGGGAGTGATCGGAATGAGGATGAAGAGATTGTGAACTCTGAAGACAAAGGTTCAAAATCTACTGAAGATGATGAAAAAGATGGGTTCTTCCGTAAATTCTTCAAGGATAAATTTGAAGATAAGAAAGATGGGAATGATAGAATCGATGAGGGGAATGCCATTGTTGAGGAAGAAGAACCTTCAGATTTTTCATTGTTTCGAAGATTGTTTCGTGTGCATCCGGAAGATGCCAAAACAACTGCTGCCAATGAAAACAGCAGCAATGGTGGCTTGTTTGATAGCAGTCCAGGGACTGAGAGCTTTTTTCGCAAACTGTTTAGAGATCGTGATCGATCAGTTGAAGACTCGGAGCTGTTTGGTTCAAAAAAGCACAAAGAAGTATGTTCAAATATAGGTTTTTCCTTTTATCTTTTTCTCCATTTTTTTTTTCTGAATAAGAAATTGTTTCTGTTGTTGGTGGGTGGTTTTCGAATTATTGTTTTCTTTTTCATTGTTTGTTCTTCTTTCAAATCTATCTGCTGTTGTTTGATTCATTAACATTGCTCAAAGTGATATAGTATTGCTTTAACACTCTTTAAGTGCTTCTGTGCCTGCGACTTTTTTATTCCCATCTTATATGATGTTGGGATTTCTTTGAGATATTTTTTATTTATGCTAATGTAAAATTGTGAGATGGGTACTTATTGGCTGATACTCTTTAAATATTTGCAATTGTTGAAAATCTTTAAGGTTTGAGAATTATCTGAACTCTTTTTCCTGTGTGTTGTAAATTAGCCAATATTTTTACTCTGGATCTAATATGGGATTATCTTTTCAATTTTTTAGGCTGTTACTGTTTTGAAAGTTTGGAAATAAGTATGTATTTATAATGTCTCTTTTACAATTCTGCGGCACCATTAGCCAAATAGTCTCTTTTACATACTATGTACTGGGTTTTATATGTGTCGTTTTAGTTGCCAACTCCCCAAGTTTAGTTTTATAGCATGTTGTTTATAGGTTATAAGTGTTGTTTGCACATCTATTGGTGCTTGGCTGTTGTGTAAAGTGCAGAAACTCTCCAAGTTAGCCTAGATAAGGTAGTGGGGTTAGATTAGTACATTGAAATATAGATGTAGTAACAATTTCAAAGGATATAGTGGTTAGTGGGACAAGTAATCCACTAGAAAAAAAGTGATCGGGTCAGAAATCTGGATTGCTATTATATTACAATCCAAGCCTTACTTTTATGAATTAGATTATCATTGAAATAAAATATGGATGATAAGTCAAAAAGAAGTTCAGGGGTGCTTCTTATTTAAGAAAAAAATTTCCCTTTTCATTTTCACTTTGGTCAACATTTGAGAATGTGTTTTGTGTACTGAAAACAATACAATGAATAGTCATTTGGTACCTATATATTCACTATTGTCAAAGCAATAACACCGGGACTAACTTGTTTTATAGTCCATACTTCTGTTTTTGTTTTTCTAATCAAAACACATGCACAAAGACGGAAATTCAATGTTAAACTGTTTTTTGAGGGGAAAAAAGAGCTTTCTTTATTGTTTAGGCTTTTTAAAAGATACTTTCACTAGTGCATCTTAGTTAGCTTAAAAGATAACTGGACAAATTTATTATAATTGTTTCCTCATTTTCCTGCTCTGGATTAGGATACAGAGAGAATAAACAAAACTATAGCTGAAGGGAACAAAATTGTACTATTGTAGTAAAGTATTCCTCTCTAAGAAGGATCATTTGCCAAGTACCATTTCAATTCCTGGGTTTATACGGTAACCTTTCTTGTTCCTTTGGGGAACTAATCAGAAGAAAAGTCTTCATCGAATTCCTGGAAATCCTCAATGAAATGATATTACAAGGGTTATTATTAGGATAGTTCAATGCATTTGAGACTAATTGGACAATTCCTTCAAAATCTACTTTTTCAAACATTTTCCTCGGTTCATGGAAATCTGTGATAGGGATAGCATTTCCTTTCTCTAAGTTGCGTTCCTCTTGTGAAACTGTACATCTTGTCTTAGGACTACAAGCATACTTTCACCATGTGATTTAAGTATGTTCAAATCTAATTGTGACTTGTCATGAAGGGTTAAAAGCAACATGATTAGACACTGTTTTGCTGTAGTTGAATCTTGCCACAATTTCATCAGCATCTGTAAAAGGAATAGTTACTTTGTCTTGGCCAGGAAAGAGTCAAAACTTCTTTTATGATGATTTTCTTATGAGGTTATTTGGAGTTTGACATCTCAATTTCTGGAAATTTGTTTCATATAATCAGTTAACTGAATTTTCTTATAAATTTCTTTTTCTACTGAATGAAACTGGAAAGGGATCTCTTTGCACAAATTAACCAGTCCCTAAATAAATGTTGGCTTTAAATTTTAATGCATACTGTGCAACATATAATCAATATGCCAAGTTCATCATATCCCAATAAGAATTACATGGTTGCATTTGGTACATAAGTCACCTCAGAGTAGTAAGACATACCGCCTAGTCATTTTGTTTCTTTAGAGACAACGTTCTTGGATGGGTATGAGATGTAGCTGTCTTATATGAGAAATTTCCTGACCCTATATTTTGAAGGGAGCTCTTCAACATAAGATTAAGTGGAATGGCCACTTCAGTGGTAGATCCATCTAGTCGTGTAAGATAGTGATCTATGAGAGCCTTGTTGCCTGATTTACATTGACAGACACCTACCTTTAAATAGAACCAAACAATGGTAAATCATCATCAGTGCATGGATTTGTTCACTGCCCATGAGTGTTATCTAATTTGTTAGACACCAGGAAACATCTAACTGAAAACATTTTCCTAAATTTTCATGTTTGGAGAGCTATTTTTCTTCTCGTATGAATGGTCTATAGGATGGAGAGAGATAGCTGTGCATGCAGGAGTCTTTTTTTCCAGACAAAAGATAGAGTTCTTGAGAATTTTCTTGTGGGGTGAAGATCTCTCCCACTCTTGCTCTTCCTAGTTGTTATTATATTATATTGAATTTTGAACTTTAGCATTTTATTTCTCTGGTGTTTTTTTTTGGCACCCTCTTCTCTGTCCATCCGTGCTATCTTGTATTATATACTATCCGTGAAGTTATGCCTCCTATTTGTTCTTATGATAAACTGATACTTTTACCAAGAAAACATCCATCGTCTTTGTTACAACTATTGGTATACTATATGAGTAGAATATCACTAAATTAATCTCCACTCTTAACTGAAAGCTTTGTTATCCTGTGTAAGTAGAATTTCACTTGCTTTTAATAAAAAGAAAAAGAAAAGAAAAGTAGAATTTCACTTAATTGACCAATTGTCCCAAGAAACACTGATCTCCTCGAAACCCCTGAGAAACTTTTCACACTTGCTGCTTTCAGCTTTTTCACCCCTAATTCCATAAATTAATTTTTTTCTCTTGTTCTATTTGTGTGTATTATTATGTTTATTTACATTTTTGCTATAAGTTCACTTATTAGTCAAACATGTTATTCTTTTTAGCTATCACTTAGGGTCAAAAGAGAGTTAGAGACATCCTTTTGAATCCCTGATCTATCTACTCTATTTTTGAAGAAAAAACTAATTGATTGAATAATAAATTATTGCCAAAAATATAGACCATAGAATGCTTACATTTTTTCCTCAATTGTGTGGAGATGCTTGTTGGTAGACCTAGGGAGTCAACATTCTCTAATTGTTTACCGTATTCATTGCTTGATGAGTTTTTGCTTTTAGATGTTAATCGCACTTGTTCTTTTTTATTTGGCAGAAGCGTCCTGGCTCCCCTAAGCAACTCGATGAGAAGTCAAATTCCAAGCCTCCACTTCCAAGTACTGCATCTCAATTTCGAAAAGGGGCTTATCATGAGTCACTGGAGTTTGTACATTCGCTGTGCGAGACGTCATTTGGCTTGGTGGATATTTTTCCAGTTGAAGATCGTAAAATTGCTCTTCGCGAGGTTGTATATGGTTTTGATGCTTTGTCAGGTTTACTTTTAATTGTGTTTGTGCTTCAACCATATGATGTTAAATATTCTCTGACGCATTTATTGTTTGTATTGTTCTTGTGTTTCTAGTCACTTGCAGAGATCAATCTACACATAGATGAGGCTCAAAACAGTGGAGGTACTTATTTAGCCACGGTGGATTTGAATAGAGCAATGGTCATTGTTGGACACAATGCTTGAGCATTGTTGTGTATGATAGTTTGATGAGTAACGGTGGTAATGTGATAAAGTGGCCAACTTTTAGGTTTTTCTAGGCATAAGTAGTTTATTTAAGAAAAAGTGGTCTTGTCTTGTAAATTAAAATCATTAATATTAAAAATTTGTAGAAATTTTGGGGAAAGAAATCTTGTTACTTATAATTTATTTTAGGTTTATATATCACTGATGCTGGAATTGAAACTGTTAAAGAACAATATTGAGTTACTGAGAGAGGTTCATGTGTCGGTGGTAGTTTGGACTATGTGTTTTTAATTGTATCTTGCAAATCTTCTGGGCATCATCTTATGAAATGGAACTATGCATTTTTAATAATTTTTATTGTTTGATAGGAGTTGGGTTCTCCATATTGTCCTTGGATTTAATTTTGGTGGCTTGGTTTTTGCATTCTATAAAAAGTATTTTAGAAAAAAAGTTTTTAGTTTGTGAATGTGTTTTTTATTCAGTAGAAAACAACTTTTACTTTTCTTGGACTATGGTTGAACCTTTATAATTTCTCTATTAACTCAGTATGCTCACAATTTATTGTTTTCCTTCTCTTGTTGTTCTTTGTTTTACTCAATTTTTTGACTGAGTTTTTCCTCATAAAAATTATTTGAAGAACTAAAAATTTTTGGATTCATTCACTGCTATTGACCTTGAAATTTGACATTTAAAATAACAAAAGTCAAAGATGCAAAGATGGTCACCTTTTTTAACAAGTAGATAATTGAGTTTAAAAATATGTATTGATCTTGAGGTTTCTTGTTTGTGAATTTGTCTTTGGTGCTTGGAAGGTAATACACACGCACACACTCACATGCCAAATTATAAAGCAATTCTTGTTTTGTGTTTGGTTATAATCATTTAGCACTTCCAGTTCTCTGTATCATATGGTTCCATTGTCTTATTTGAATATTGGCTGGTAAACTTTTTAGGAATTTGCTTTCCAATGGGAAAAGGGATGTATCGTGTGGTCCATATTCCTGAAGATGAAGCTGTTCTGTTGAATTCTAGGGAAAAGGCCCCTTATATGATCTGTGTTGAAGTTTTGAAAAGTGATTCACCAAGGTAATTATCAAGATAAATGACCTAGTTGAGTTAAATAACTTGGAACCCAATTTTTACCATTGCTATAGTATTCTTTATATCAGATCATTGAAACTACTACAGTTATCTGATTCTTTTTTTTCTAAATGGTTCAGCAATACAAAGGACACATCAGGTTCTCAAAAGCTTTCCAGAGGAATTCCTCTAGCAAATGGTGATGCATTTTTGCAGAAACCACCACCATGGGCTTATCCTTTGTGGACTGCTCAGGAGGCATATCGCAATAGTACTGATAGGTTGTCGATATCTACTGCTCAAGCGATTGACCAGGCAATGACTCATAAGTCTGACACAAAAGTGAAATTGGTCCATGTGAATCTTTCAGTAGAGACACAATTGCTTCGCAAAACAAAGAACGTGGAAGTACCTGATTCACAGTCTTGCAGCAATTGCAATAGAATGCAATCTGCTGCTTCAAATGGTCGTCGAGCTGGAGAGGGTATAAGCCTTGCTTCAAGAGAAGCACATGGTAGTGATTTGGAATGGGTAAGGGTTGTGTTGACAGCAGATCCTGGGGTTAGAATGGAAGACATTGAGGATCAACGGCCACCACGTCGGAAGGAACACCGCCGTGTTCCTAGTACTGTTGCTATAGAGGAAGTGAAGGTGGGCCATAGTATTATTTATTTATTTTATTTTTCCTTTAGAGGAGCCATATGATTATCCACTTTTCTTATGCTTGTCAGTATTCCAGGGATTTAGCAAGTCTTTCCAGCTGTGCCAAAATTCTATGCACTGATACAAATTTGACTTGGAAATATATCTGAGATTTTTTAATAATCTGGACATCTATTGGCACTTCTTTGGCATTGTGATGTTCAATTTTAGTTTATGATGGAAAGAGGCCTCATAAATTAATTGTTTTATTGGCAGGGGTTGGCATTTGGATACATTCATATTAGTAGATACTCTAGCTTTCAATTTGGATGCTTGTGTGGTTTTGTGCTCATTTAAGTGAAAATTTCCATTTAGGGTAAACCTTTCTGTAGTTAGATTGCCCATTTTTCGTATCTTCAATTAGTTTTAATTCAATTCTTCTTGTTTCCTAGCAAAAGAAAAAAAAGGTACAATTTCCATTTAAGCATTGAGTTCAACAATGTAATCATTGGTCTGAATGTCAATTCAGTTTTTTTTTCTGTTGGATAATCTAAAGCGTTGGTCTGAAGTGACATTATTTTGTTTATATTTAGATGTTCCTGTTGTGTTTTTATGCACATCTTACGTAGAACACCCTTTGAGGCATCTCATTCAACAATGTAAACATTAGTCAATATGTGAAACAAGTTGTCTTGGATAATTTCTTTTGGAACCTGAATTTATTTATACATGTTTGTTTTGCATCTTGCTGAATAAGCTGTCATTCTACAGGCAGCTGCTGCAAAAGGAGAAGCCCCTCCCGGACTCCCTCTGAAAGGGGCTGGTCAAGATTCATCAGAGGCACAGCCAAGGGTGACCATTTGTTAAAACTAAATCTTCTTTTTTTTGTTTGTAATCTGGAATTTTGTCACTGAAAAATAGTCTTGACAGGCTAATGGTGGTACACCTAAGGCCACTGATGCCTTATCTGGTGAACTTTGGGCAATGAAGAGAGAGAGGATTCGGAAAGCTTCAGTGCATGGAAAATTACCTGGCTGGGACTTGCGTTCTGTAAGTTCTGCTTATATATGTTGCTTTTTCTTTTTCAATTTTTATAAGAACACACATTTGATTGAATTGGATGAACATGATTGATGATTCGAATATGTTCTAATCTAATGTTGTAACGTGACTGATGATTTGTTTTACTGTATTATCTCTGTTCCTTAGCTGACTAAGCAGCTTAATTTGTGTTGTTGGCTCAATAAAGATATGAATATTAGTGTTTATGGTCATATCACGACAGGGATGTCAACTTTTCTGCATAAATTTATTATCTGTGGCTGTGGTTGTATTATTATATCTTTTTCAAAAAGTTCATCCATTAATGATTAATCAAATTGCACCCAGCAAATAATTACCATGTGTAGAGCATGATATTGTGGTTTTCAACAATCAGTCAAATGTTCTCCTGGGTTAATTTAGGGGTTATTGAATGTAAGCAGTAACTGTTTTCTGGTTATATATGCTATAACTGTGCAACTAAACTAGATTTAGGGGTGAATCGTGTATAGAAAATATATTGTGGGGGTATTTTGTTCCACTAACTTGTAAATCTTCTGAGGATCACAGGATTATCCTACTGTTTTGCATCATTTTTTTATAGAAATATAATTATTTTGCTTCCTATAATGAAGTGTGCAATGGAAATTATAACTTTGCCTTGGTTATTTCATTTGTATTCTACAATTCTTTTGATATCCTAATGGTGTTTTCTCTGTATGTTGGTAGTAATGAATTGTTCTCTTCTTCTGTATAGGTCATTGTGAAGAGTGGTGATGATTGTAGGCAGGAGCATCTTGCTGTTCAACTTATTTCACATTTTTATGGTACACGCCTTTATTGTAATTTTTAATGATTCTTTTCTTCTGTTTATATGAAATTATTTAATATTCTCAGTCTTCCTGTTTTGGGCGGGATGAGAGGTATTCAACTCTTCTCTTCCCTGTTTAATGTTTAAATCAGTAGTTACTTAACTTCTCCTAGTGGAGAGTCATTTTCTTTCTGTAACTTCGTATAGGATGTGATTTGATACGAGGTTTGAGGGTGCTTGGTAAAGAACATGCTGTTTATGTGAGGGTGGGGTAGGGAGTTATGCAGTGATGATATTGTACTACAGTGCAGGTATAGTAAAGTAGTGGTAGAGAGTCAGATTTGCTTCAATATCTAGGTGTAGTATTAGGAATGCACATGCTGAGGCTTTCTTTTGGTTTGTTTCGAGCCTGTATACATGACCCCAGGCTAAAAAAAACCTGTGAGTTTGCCCTCATTTACCTATATATGGTTTTTCCAGGCTGAATCCTTTGTTTTACCCCAATGGTTAGTTGTAGTTTATTAGCAATTAGAACAGAAACAAAGCTGAAATGTTTAACATTCATAGTTATTGTTATTTACGGGTTGAATCCCGTATCATGAGATTAATTCTTGGTTATTCTGTGATATTGGCCTTGTTTAAAATGCGTCTGTTGAAGTTTATAATTGTTCTTGTTTCATTCCAGATATATTTCAAGAAGCTGGTCTTCCTCTCTGGCTGCGTCCTTATGAAGTTTTAGTCACATCATCTTACACAGCACTCATTGAAACAATTCCTGATACGGTAATTATGCACATTTTTGCTCATAGTGACTTGATAATGAATTTTTTGCCTACATGCATGGTAATAATATCTTTATTGTTGTCTAGGCTTCACTTCATTCTATCAAAAGTAGATATCCCAACATTACAAGTTTGCGTGACTTCTTTGTTGCCAAGTATCAAGAAAATTCTCCAAGTTTTAAGCTTGCCCAGGTAATATATAGCTGCAGCCTGCAGAGAAGGAGCTGTCCTTGTTGGTAAATAGTTTAGTAATATTTTCATTTCTATGCTTCACGGAACTGTTAACATTAGGGGAGTACATCAATTAATTTTTTTAACAAAATATTATAATCCACCTTTATTCATTTGCTTCTTTGATTTGGGATAAGGAGTGGTGTTTGAAAAGGAAGAAAGCTATGGAAAACTGGAAATTAGACTCTGGGTGCTGTTTCAAAATTAGATTTGACATGGGAAGAAAGCACTGAGAAATCAGAATTCATACTGCTGATTTACTCTGACTGCAAGTTCAGTTTTAGAATCAAATTAATTGGGAGAGCTAGGTTTCAGAGAGGTTATGGTTATTAAATAGGGGTTTTTTGGTGATTAATTAAACTTAATGTGGGCTGGTGGTTATTAGAACTACCAGCAGAACATTAAAGAAAGAGAAAAGGGAAGTTATAAATATTTAAGGATAGATATTTATAGACTACTCAATTAACTAAATAAAAGATATTTATAGACTACTCTGGGTTAATCCAATTGGGCTTTGCTTCCATCATTTTATATAGGCATCTTTAATTTGCAGTATTACTAGTAAGAAATTATAGACCGCACTGGATAGGAAAAAGAAGCTAATAGGACACCCAATGCAAACATAAGACTCTTCAGTGCAGCTATTCCTGTTCCAGCAGATGCAAAAATTACTAATGTACTCCCAATTACTAGAACCTTATGTTTCTAATCTACTATTGGCTGCTAGGAATGAAGATATTGAGTGCTCATCCATTAACATTTTGCAAAAAGACGATTCTGATGTCGAGAAACTGGGTTAGGCATTTTGAAGATTTAAGTAAGTCGGGTGATAATGTATTATGAAACAGGTTTTTGAGGGAATAAATAGTAAAACCAGACTTTTAGTTACTCTTGTTCTTGAATGAAGAAATTCTAAGAATTGTCTTAAGTGAAATTTAATACCTCTAAGTTCTGAGTAGATGTTATATTGTTGCAGAGAAATTTTGTTGAAAGCATGGCTGGATATTCCCTTGTGTGCTACCTCCTGCAGGTTTTTTGCTCTCTCTCTCTCTCTCTCTCTCTCTCTATATATATATATATATATATATATTAGATTATTATAATTGTAACTTTAAATTTTTAATTTAAAATTTCACATCAAATTCATGACCATTTATCTACCCATTGCGATGCAATAATGTAGAAAGAGGAAAAGTTTTTTGCATGCAACTGTTTGCTGCTTTGGTCTGCTATTCTCTTTATTAGTGTAATTACAGAATGAGAATATTCTGCTTGGTGGAATGAAGAGAATTTAAAAATACTGTTTGTCATTTATCTTATGCTCCTTTTACATGTATCTTAGGTCATTTCATTATTTAGCTTTTTTTGTGTTCCAACATGTGTCTGAATCACTTTTTGCCTTCTCCATTTGTTAGTGTTTTAAAATTTTTTTACTCGTTACCATCCTTCTGTATTGCTCATTAGCTAAAGTAGTTACTGGCTTTTGGTAATTATTGCCATTCTTAAGAATGAGAAATAACATCCCTCAAGTAAATAATTTCTGAAATGCAGTACTTTATGATCGGCAGTTAGTCATATAAAATAATAGTTTTCTTATTACAGCATCTAGAAATAAGGTTCTGGTGGAATGTATTTTTGTTGTAGCTTATATTTTAGATCTCTTAATGAGAAGTTTAATGGATTTTCCTTGCCTCTTAAAGGATCTGGAAGTTTTATGAGTTAGTTTGTTGAGTACTCTATATTCATGAACCTTTTTATTTCTTTTCAGGTGAAGGATCGTCACAATGGAAATCTCTTATTGGATGAAGAAGGCCACATCATACATATTGATTTTGGTTTTATGCTTTCCAATTCACCTGGCGGTGTGAATTTTGAGAGTGCTCCATTTAAGTTAACTCGTGAACTTCTTGAGGTAAGTGATGCCCATCTGCCTTGTGTTCCCACAATTTGTTTGTGCTTATATTTTAGAATTTAGGAGCATGTGTTTTTCTTATTGAAAAAGTGACTCCAAATCTGGATATTAATAGGTCATGGATTCTGATGCCGAGGGAGTTCCAAGCGAATTTTTTGACTATTTTAAGGTATTGATGATGTTCTCTTTTGGAACACCTCCTTTTAACTGTAAAGTCTTTAGATATGATCTTTGTGAAATTCAGGTTAAGTCGGACTAATTGTCTTTGCCCTTCAACTTTAGGTTTTATGTATTCAAGGCTTCCTAACATGTCGTAAGCATGCGGAACGCATTATTCTTCTTGTTGAAATGTTGCAGGTAACACAAACTTTGGCTTTCCATAACATCAGTTTGTACCCTCATTATATATATGATTTAATGGCTCTGGTTTTGTTCCTAATGCTTGCATCTTTGTTTCATAGATAAAAATGTGTTTCTTTGCAATGTTTTGATCAGGACTCGGGTTTCCCATGTTTCAAAGGTGGTCCACGAACGATACAGAATCTTAGAAAACGATTCCATCTAAGTCAAACAGAGGAGGTTTAATTTTCAACTTGGAAACTATATTATACTGTACAATGCTTCATTTATGTGGTTGTTACATGTTATCTGTTGTTTTCTACCAGCAATGTGTGTCCTTGGTGCTATCCTTGATCAGCAGCAGCTTAGATGCATGGCGGACGCGCCAATACGATTATTACCAGAGGGTTTTGAACGGGATATTGTGAGGTTAAATATGACTGGTGATTATCACCTGTTTGAAGCATTCCGACGAAAGTTGCATGTAAATTTGCTGTGTGATATTAGGGTTTTGCTTCCCCTACACAACAGCTTCGATGACTTTGTTTGCTTGAAAAGGATAGTAGATAGCAGTTTGTGGCCTGTTGCTCCTCGGTGCGAGAAATTTGCAATTGTATCGGTACATATTCTCTCGGAAGTCTAGCAGGCTAAAATTTTGTCGGCAGGGCTTACTTTTTCTCTCTCTCTCTCTCTCTCCCATGTTCCATAGACATCTCAAAACTCTATGAGCTGTTGGGGTATTTAGTTACTAAGGGAGATATACAACACTGTACAGAGTAATATCATTGGGGACGACAGACCGAACCTGAAATGGCGACAAGATACTTGTTGAAGTCGTGATTTTTTACATGGAGGATTTCCAGGTTGGACTGGATCTAAATGTCGGATGTCTGGCTGCCGCCTTTTGCCGTCTCGGCTGCTTTCCCTGATTTTGATTCTTCCACACTTAGATTGAAAGGTAGTGTTAGCAAAAATTATGGAAAAAGAATATTCGATTGTATCATCTCTCATATTTTTGCTGATCCAATTTTATTTTAGTGGGATTTTTTTTTTTTTTTTTTTAAATTGGAATTTTAAATGGTTTCTTGTAAGAGCCTACATGTTTTCAAGGGGTTTTTTATTTTCTCTAGCCCCATCTTTTTTGTTTGTGTTTTGTGTGCATGTGTTACTGTTAGTCGTGAACTTCTCATATTTTTAAATCGATTGACCTTTTGATTGTTGTGTTGAATTTTATATTTATATATTTATATTTAATGTTATATTTTTATTTAACAAGTGGTGATTTAGGGTTTTTTTTTTTTTTTTATAATTTATATTAGATAACACATTTTTGGGTTTCAATTTGAAAAATAACCTATAAAGTATTAAGTCTCTTGGAAATGTTCTATTTCAAGATTTGAGCACCCATTATATCAAGTTATCATTCTTAACTAAAAATCAATTGACTGATAGTTAACGATGGATTTCAATCGATTGGCAATCAATTTTTAGTTTTAAAAGGTATTTTGGTTTAATAGGTTTTGAAATTTTATAATAGTATTATTTTCTGAGAGGCTTCTATAAATAGTTATTTCTCAATTTTAAGGTTATTTCTCAATTGTTATTCCCTACGAACAACCCCAACCCCCCCAAACGGTCTCTCTTTTTTTTTACGTTAAAAAGGTGGTTTATATTAAAACTTTGGTTTTACGTTAAGGAAGAAAAGTATGAAAATGAAAAGAGAAAAAGTGAATTATTTATTCAAGTTTTATTTATTTTTTATAAAATGGGCTTTGCATTTCTCTCCTTTCTCCTCTCAATTTTCCCAAGTACAACTTTTTAAAAAGGTAATCTAAAATTTTTGCCACGGTTTTGTACAATAAATGAAAAGGGTTCGAATAGGTTTTATAGGGTACGTAGTCAAGATTATTTATTATTTTATTATTTTGTATTTTCAGATAATATATCCAACACATTTTTATTTTTCATATTTTTTTTATTCATTTTAATATTCTTAAAAAAACACAAATAATAAAACAACACAGCCTTAACTTTAGTGATATAATGGTGTTAAAACTTAAAAATAGGACACTAACAATCATTGTCAAAGGAATGGCAAATCCTGGTGCAGAACTAAAGTAACAGTACACCCGCACCCTGCACGCGGATTAAACCTAAATATTTATCAAACTCAGGTTTTAGGGACCTTTGGAGTCTGACTTTTTTTTTTTTTTAATATGACCGGGATGTCTGGGTCAGCTTACATGCACCTAACTAATCCCTCAAAATCTTAAGTAAATCAAAATCGAATAACTTCTATTAGTGTTTGAGGGGATTCAACTCAAGAACTCATGTTAGACCTCTTGTTCTTTTATCATCAAAATCATGTCACTCAATGGTAGTTTGAGATTCCTGGATTTGTTTGTTTCATATCCTACGCGCATTTTATTTGGAAAACAATTGGATTCACCCAAAAAAAAAAAAAAAAAATTCAGTGATCTCTTGCCAAGGAGAAGAAATAGGGCCAACAAATCGAAATAAATAATAGGACCAACAAAAAAATTAATACTGAATAACAAATCAATCAAGAAATGTTTATACATATTAATTGACTAAATCTTAATAAAAGAATAATTTTAAAATGTTCTTTTTTTATTTAGATTTGCAAGAGTATAAATGGTACCAAAGCTAAAGTGATGAAGAGTGAGGAGATGGCCAAAAGTAAAAAAATTGGGAGAAAAAATTAATTATAAAAAATATTAAAATTAATGAAGCAATCGGACCAATCAAGGATTTCTAGTGAAGTTATCAACGTTCACCAAAAGGGTGGTCAATAACAATTAAAATATCATTAAGGCCCCTCAACTTTTACAGTATTCATAGTGTGACAAATCTCACCAAGTTTTCTAATTTTTCTCATTAATAACAAACTTACCCTTCTAATTTCAAACACTAAAAGATAATTATCATAGTATAATTTTGAAAATATTTAGGTATTATCAGTAAATAATCTTAAAATGTAACAAGAAATAGCCAAAAAAATCTAAAAATGTTCATTTAATATCCAAAGATATAAAAAACATAATTAAAAACCAAAATAATACAAAATTTTAAAAATAAAAATAATTGGTCAAGAGAAATCTAAGATGGTAATTCAATGTAAAACTTTATAAAATGGAAACACACAAAATATTTTTTTCATTTTTAATATTATTTTTATTAATTTTAGTTTTTACACACAAATCAACTTCTTGTTCTTTTTTTTAATTGAATTCAAATTTTTTCTAAATAAATATTGACCAATAATGGCACATATGTAATAAATCAAATTTCAGCCCAACGACTATTCCGCGCTATTTTATTAACAGGAAAGGCGGTGCCCCCTCGGCCCCTCGCTTATATATTGAACTCAACGGCTATTCCGGCTCTTTTTCAAATTTCAGCCTCTCTCTCTCTCTTCATTCTCCCTCTTTCTTCGCTAGCTCTCTCTCTCTCTCTCTCCCTCTCACCACGCTTCTCTTGATCACTCTCTCTCTATACTCTACCCTCGATCGCTCTCCCCAAGACGCTCCTCTTAGAGCGCTTTCTCTCTCGGTAAGATCCTCTGAAACAAAATTCTCTCGGTAATTATTTGTTTAAAATTTTCTTTAGATTTATGGTACCATTTTATTGTTTGCCTTCAGTGTTAGAAATTTCAATTTCCTTATCGTTTTTAATCTGTTTTCGATTTTTTGTGATACGGGTTTTTAAGGGTTTCCAATTTTGGGGTGTTTTTTAGGTTTTTGAATTCTAAATTTCTTATATTTATTAACTCTGTTATCTGGGTTTGGATTGATTTCTAAAATTTCTTTGTTTTTCCAAAATGACATCAATTAAATTATTTGTAGTTTTTGTGTCTAGATTTGCTTTTCTATTGATCATTTTTTTTTTTTTTTTTTTTTTTTTTTTTGTGGATTCATATCTGTTGATAAATTTTTTTCCCTTCGTAGGGATTTTATTTTTTCGTATGTAGATTGTGTATTGTGGACATATATATCTGTTGCGTTACACTATTGTATAGGGTTTTATATTTTCGTGTTCTAATTGTGAATCTAATAATGTTTAAAGCAGGATCTGCATTCCACCTAAATGTATTTTGATCACAGCAAGAAAGATGGATCGTTTCTTCTGTGTAATTTTGGGTTTATGAGCCAGGAAGGGTGGTATTCACTGAGACGCTTATTTCGTCATTGGACTTGACGGCTTTTTCTTTGAGTTAGCTTCTTATTTACACATTCGCAATTTGATCATTTGAGCAGAAGAATTTTTTTTGGGTAATCAATTATTACCTGCTAGTTAAAAAATCAAGAATCAAGATTACCTCCCTTTGAGTTTCTCTATGGGGAAGACAAAATTACCTCCTGGATTTCGGTTTCATCCTACTGATGTCGAACTTATCAAGTTCTATTTGAAGAGGAAAGTAATGGGAAGGAAATTCAATTTTGATGCTGTGGCTGAGGTTGACATATACAAGTATGCTTCTTGGGATCTTCCAGGTATATAGCACAATGTCTCTCTTTTATCAATAACCTATTTCTTTTCTACTGTATTCTTGAAGTGTGCCTAATTGGTGAGTGAGATTGTACTCACTGATTTCTCATTCTTTTTTTCTTCTGTTCTCTTATTTTTCAGTGAGATCTAGTTTGAGAAATGGGGACTTGAAATGGTATTTCTTTTGCCCACGAGAGAAGAAATATGCGAGTGGGGCTACACAGAATTGTGCTACTGAGTTTGGGTATTGGAAGACCACAGGAAAGGATAGAGCTGTTCGTTACAATAACGAAACTGTGGGGATGATAAAGACTCTAGTTTTCCACAGAGGTAAAGCTCTGCGAGGTGACCGGACAGATTGGGTTATGCATGAGTATAGAATTGAAGAGAAAGATCTGGCTGACAGAGGTGTTGCGCAGATAATCCTTGATTCTGACATTTTTTCAATAGCCTCAAATATTTGCTTACACAAACAGCTAATACCAATGGTCCTCAAATATTAAATTAGCATTGGTTTTGCCCATGGCTATTGTAATAGTTGAAAGGGTGTCCTCTGTAATGAATCTTGTTAAGAATACTTTGCGTAATCGAATGGGAGACGAGTGGATGAACAATTGCTTAGTAGTTTACATTGAAAATGAAGTTTTTGTTACAATTCAAAATGAAGATATCATTGAACATTTTCAGAACATAATGAAGCGAAAATCGTGTTAAATTAAAGATCTTCAAGTATACTATTCTAATTTGCTTTCATCTTTAAATAATCAATATTCATATTATTTAAATCTTTAGGTATACCATTCTAACTTGATTTTTGGGTCAATACGCCGAGGATGTATGAATCTTTATTCTAGACGGTTGAGTTAGAATGTTAACATTTGGATCTAGATTTGGAATGATTGTAATCCATCTCTTTGTAAACCTTTGTGTATTTTACTCTTGTTAGACTTGTGATTGAACTCTAATTTTGTGTAGAATAGTTTTGGTGGATTTGTGGTTGTTGTAAACTCTTTTGATTATATTGGATTTAAGTGGATCGTTAGAATCCCATGGTTTTTTTTATCTCTTCACATTGAAGAGGTTTTTCCATGTAATTTTTTTTTTTTTTTAATGTTTCCTTGTGAATTTGATGTTATTTTCTTATGTTTTCACTAGTTGATTAGCAAACAGTGGCGGAGCGATGGGCCCCCCGGGCAAAAATCATGGGTCGACCACTGCCCACGCGGCTATATATATATTCCATCAGATGTACTAACCCATTATATAATTTGTATTTTTTTTTTTAAATTCAAAAACTAGGGTTCATCCTGTAAACCTCCATAGATGTTTAGTGTGTTATTTCATTGAGGTCTAAAAATTTCCATCATTCCTCAAGAGCCTAGGCCTAATATTCTACGATGATTATTCAGTTCTAGAGTTTCTTCCTTCAAATGTGCCTATCAAAATCAACCCATTAAACCAAACAAGGTATTGGGCCAGTCCAGCAAAGTTTACTCTGCATTTTGGCAATACGACGCCATTCATTGGAAGCTTTGTTCGCATGAGACAAAAATTCGGATGACGTGTTTTTCCAATTCTAAAGATTGAGATATTGTAGTTTTTTCCTTCTTTGAAGAGTCAAAGAGTTGCAGATGTTTACACAATTTCACAACGCAAAGTGAATTAACAACAATCATGGCAAATTCTGAAACCAGCAATGTCTTAGGCTCAAGATGGTCCTTTAAGGGAATGACTGCTGTCTTCACTGGTGGCACTAGTGGAATTGGGTTCTTCCTATCTCTCCTTTAAACTTTCTTTGTTCAATAAAATTATCAACTTTTCTTTTTTCCAGTTGATTTAAACATAACCTTTTGCTGGGTTTGGTGCTTCTGTACATGTAAAACTTACGTTACTCATGTAATGTAGATAACGTTTTGATTTTCATCAGTTTTAAAGCTTGATGGTTCACATTTGTTGCTTCAGTTTTCAAATGCTTTAGTTTTCAAACGTTTTGTTTAACCATTGATTGAGATTTATGACAGCCATTAAGCAATGTCATTAAGAGTTTGATGGAAGTTTGGCTATGTATAATATTTTGGTCCTAAGCTCAATAACTCAACTAACTAAAAAATACACCATCAATATTAGAGTGTCTTGAGAGCTTAGAAGAGCCAAAATACTGTTCTGTGAGTTTGTTTTAATGGTTAGAGGTAATTCTTGATTCTTGGTTTATAGTTTAAGAACATTGTATTATTTGTATTTCTGTTTAGATTGTAGATAAGTTTCTTACAGTACACACTTGTTCAAGAAACAAAGCTGAGCTTAAACAATGCTTAAAAGAATGGCGAAGAAAGGGGTTTGTGATGCCGCTGTTTCTTCTCAGAGAGTGAAGCTGATGGCGGAAGTTGGCTCTGTTTTTAATGGCATGCTTATATTTGTCTAGAATACAATGTGCTTATTTGTTTATTTATTTTATAATATCTGTATCTTGATTGGTATAATGATTGCTTACTTGATTTTAATGTTTGGTCAGTGTGGTAGTGTACTATTGATGTATAGAAGATTATTTGTTTGGTCTTTTTCCTGTTCCAATTGGCAGAGGTCTAAGTAACTAGCATGTTTAGTGTTAACCATTTTAATTTTCCGAACAAGGTAAAAGACATGACAGATCTTTTGTCATCAAAACGATCGGTTTAGATCACTGCATCGGTCTTTCAGGCACACACCCATCCTGCGATATTAGTAACAAAATATCTAGATGGATAAACAAAAGATACAGACAATATAAAGCAAATATAGACACTAATAAAATAACTTTCCAATACTTCATGGGGGCCACTTTTTGGATGTAAACGTGAATACATATAAATGAGATCAAAGGTAGGAAATAGTCTAACGCCACTGCAAAGGACAAGTTAGTATGATTTAACAAAGAATTTAACGACATATCGCAATCTAAAAGTTCATATTATTTGGTTGATAAACTTGATTACAATACTAGGACTTTCGAAGATTCAACCCTATCATACACAAAAACAACAAATAGATTTTCTTGGCATTAACCCAATCGTAAAACAAAACAAAACAACACAAAAATCACATTTTTATCTAGGCTGTAAACTCAGACTACAAAAAGAACAAAAGAAGATAACTACCTCTAGAAGTAGAAACAGTCACAAATGTTAACTCTCTCTTAAATAACCTCAACGATGAACAAAGTCAAATCTCGCAACTCAATGGTCCAACCTGTGAATCGAAATCGCTTCAAAGCCTTCTAGGTCGCCGAAAAAACTCCACAACAACAACCCTAAACCTTGTCGACAACAATTGTAACCAACCCAAAACTCCAAACTCGCCAACCCTAAGTCTAACTCAACATTGTAAGTCGCCGTCAACACTCAAAGATCATCGAAAACAACCACCATAATCGCTAGAAACCAATCGCAAATTTCGTCTCATGAAAACGCAAATGTCAGTTGTCAATTCTAGAACAGCAAACGTCAAATGACTTTTGCATTTCCTTTTTCCTAATTAAAGTCAACTTCCCTAGCCACGTGTTGTCGCCCCAACCCTTTTATTCCTAAAATTTTATTTTTAAATTTTGATTTCAGATGTAAATTTTTAGTTGACAATTGCCCTTACTTACAACTACCTTTTTACTATCTTGCCCTTCCTCCAAATGAATTACTAACGGATATTTGCTTTGGGTACTAAATTGGTACTTTTAAAGTTAGAGGGTGGGAAAGTGTCATTTAGCCATTTTTCCGGTGGGAAAAAGTGGTTTCCTTATATTATTTAAACCCATGAGGTATACCTTAATACCAACAAACCCCTACCCTTTAGTATCAGATATTTCCTCAACCCCATAAGGTATACCCTTAAACTAATGAACCCCCTTTGATATCAACTTCTCTCAACCCCATAAGGTGTACCCTAATACCAATAAACCCCCTTTGGTATCAGATATTACTCTAACCCATTTATTAAATTTAGTCAACCGATAAATCCTTTTTATCTCTCATATTTAATTGATATTTTTAAATGATAACATATTATTTTAATTTATAAGAAAAATAAAATTAAAATAAGAATGAAAACAAAAGGCTTACAGCCTGCCCCTCCCCCCCATATCCTTCGTCGTTCGCCGCATGTAGCCTAGCATCCTCTATTGAGTGGGCCGCATGCCCCCACTGAACTTGGAAACTTTTCAATTATACCTTTATACTATATGTTTTAACATTGACACCCTTTATTTTATTTAATTAAAATAGCCTAAAGCATTATCACCACTTTTATTCGATTTTGTTGTTCTAAAATATCAAATATATTTTTCTTTTTTTATCAATCAAATACATAAAATAAATACAAAATTATTTTGTATATGAAGATTTATTAACAAATTTAATGAATTAAAAAGTTGATAATATTTGTCCACACCAAAACAAAATCCTGGCTCCCGACCTGCCAACTCCACCCACTAGGCCACTACTGCAAATTTTATCAAAGATTAATGGCAAACAACCAACGAAAATTGGAAAAAAAAAAAAAAGGTGGTTGGGGAGTGTGGTGGCGGACAATAGAGTGAGGGGAGTGACAAGCTATTCGCAAGTGTACGAAATCGTGCAAGTAATAAAGCTCGAGTAAACGAGTGTCGAATCCCAAGAGAACTACTTACCAAGTACCAAATTAGTATATCTTATTGTTATTTGATGAAACAGAAATTTAAGAATGAATTTAATGAAAAAGAATATAAACTAAAAACTAAATAAAAGCAAAATTTTATAAATATTTTGGTAGAGAAATCAATATGACTAAACCGAGGGCACATATTTCACACAAATTTAATCCTATGCATTGACAATTGTTGCTAACCTAATTAAGCTTATTCTAAAGGCCAAAATCCCTAATATTCCACTAACTTTCTCTCGAACAATTAGCGAATTAACCCTTAAGCAACAACCCAAAATATCTCTAAGTTGAATTTAAAAGTTAAGAGATCATTAAGTTCTATGGAATTTACCAGAGTCTCACAGATCGCGGTAACCTATCTCTAGCGTTCGCTCAATCTATAGTTTTATTACCTTAGACTAATCAGGTTTCATCTCTCGATCTCAACTCAATCAATAAAATCATTCAACTCTCGGGCCCTTAAGAATTGAAAGCATTATGCACAATAATAAAACTTAGAATTAAAAGCTCAATAAGAATTAACAACAATTTAAGTCAACACGTATTCATAAATTGGGCTACATCTTAGCCCTAGAAAAGAGATTTAGTTCATAATTACAGTAATAAAAACAACAATTGTATTCAATAACATGAGTTCAAGAAATAAAAATAGAAAAACTTCTCTAATTGGCGAACGAGAACTTCAAGAATTCCGATCTCCAAAATAGTAGTCGTCCTTTCTCCTTCTCTTAAAAAAACCTTAAAACTAATTAAAAATCCTTATGTATAGTGCTAGGGTTTGCAGGTTACTTAGGAAAAGAATTAAAATCCTTAATCCACTCAAATTCGGATTAGG